TCAATGTTCAGCTGTGTTAGAAGGTTAGCATATGATCAAGAACTAATGATATTGAAGGAAGGAGTCCAAGCTTCACTGAAGGGATTGGTGAAAAAACAAGAATCCAGAAATTGAAATGTTTCAACAAATGGATGCGACACTGGAAGTGCTCCCTCATCTATGCCAAGAAATTTGGCCAGCCAACTGGAAGAGATTTATATTTGTGCTCATTCTAAAGAAAGGTGATCCAACAGAATAAGGCTGATGGTTCAAACCCACCAGCCACTCTTCAGCAGAAAGGTTGGGCAATCTACTTCCGTAGTGATACCGCCTCGGAAACCCAAGGAGGGGTCGTTGTGAGTTGAGTCTGACTCGATGGCACATAACAACAACATCATTCATATCAAGTGCAAGTAAAATTTTGCTGAATATCATTCAAAAATGATGGCAGCAGCACCTGTAACAGGGAACTGCCAGAAATTCAAGCCAGATTCAGAAAAGGATGTTGAATAAGGAATACCATTGCTGATGTCAGACAATTTTTGTCTGAAAGTAGAGAATACCAGAAAGATGTTTACAGGTGTTTTACTTACTATGCAGAGTCATTTCAGTTCTGTGGATCATAACAAATTATGGGTAACATTGCAAAGAATGGGAATTCCAGAACACTTAATTTTGTTCATAAAGAACTTGTACATAGAACAATAGGCAGTCATTTAAACAGAACAAGGGGATACCGTGTGGTTTAAAATCAAGAAAGGTGTATGTCAGGGTTGTATCCTTTCGTTATACTTATTCAGTCTGTATGCTAAGCAAATAATCTGAAAAGCCAGACTATAGGAAGAAAAAGGTGGCATTAGGATTAGAGGAAGACTTGTTAACCACTTGCAGAATTGTAATAAGGAAAAAGAGACTCCAGATTCGAACAAGTTCAATAGAGACACTTTTTACTAAGTCTTGCACAGGACAAAGACTGTCATCCAGGATGAGGGAAATCATCAGCATGTACACAGTACAGAAAGCTAAAGGGAGTCTGCTGAGTCATGGCCATGATTGAAAACAAAGGGATTCACCACAAAATCGTGTTTGGTGGGGATCAATTCATCACTGTTGCAGGTGGGACTACAGAAGTGGGAATAGGATCATAATTGGGATATGCACATAATTGAAGATTCAGAAGGGCTACAAGATTGGTTCTGGGGTTTGACCACCTGGCTATGTGGTGGTCCAGATATGACTCATGACCGTGCAGCCTGAGTCACAGCCACAACGTGGCTACAAGATAATACCAGGACCCCAGTCTTAATTTAAATTAGATGAGGACACACCCAGGCAAGTTCCTTGTTCTTTGTATGAGCATAATCTATTTTCAGTCACAGACTTCCTGAGGGCCAACTGCCTGTCCTTAGGTTTGTCCTAGAACTTGTCAGTGCATAGCCATGATTTTAGTCTGAAGGTCAGAAAGAACTTCTGAACTTATGTCAAGACTCAAAATGGAAGTAGGTCTCCCACTGTAGACCACAGCCTTCCACAAACCCGGGTACTTTAGAATTTAAGCTCTAGCATAGTGCCTAAGACACTTGACTACTAACCAGAAGGCTGGCAGTAATCCACCAGCCACTCCTCGGAAGGAAGGTTGGGAAATCTACTTCCGTAGTGATACTGCCTTGGAAACCCAAGGAGGGGTCACTATGAGTCGACCAACTCTACGGCACATAACAACAACAATACAGTATGCAAATGACACAACCTTGCTTGCTGAAAGCAAAGGACATAAAGCACTTACTGATGAAAGACCAAACATTACAGCCTCCAGTATGGATTATACTTCAACATAAAGAAAACAAAAATCCTAACAATTGGACCAGTAAGCAACATCATCGTAAACAGAGAAAAGATTGATGTTGTCAAGGATTTCATTTTAAAGTGTAAAAAGCAAAGATGACACTTTGAGGACTAAGGTGCATATAACGCAAGCCATGGTATTTTCAATCATTTGATGTGCATGTGAAAGCTGGACAATGAATAAGAAAGACCAGAGAAGAATTGATGGCTTTGAATTATTACATTGGTGAAGAATATTAAATATACCATGGACACCATAAGAAGGAACAAACCTGTGAGGATGGTGAGACTTCATCTCATGTAGTCGGGGCATGTTATCAGGAGGGACCACTCTCTGGAGAAGTATATCATGCGTAATAAAGTAGAAGGTCAGTAAAAAAGAGGAAGACCTTCAAAGAGATAGATCGACACAATGGCTGCAACAGTGGGCCCAAACAGCAACGATTGTGAGGATGATGCAGGATCAGGCAGTATTTTGTTCTACATAAGAGTCTCACCATGAGTTGGAACTGAGTAAATGGTGCCTATCAACCACTAATAATAAGATATAGCAAAGAATTTGTAGGCATATGCTAAAACTACTAGTTCATTGATTAAAACCAATAATTAATGTTTTAAGGCAATGCAAATATTCTTTTTCTCCTTAAAGTTTTATCAGCTTATGTTAGTTAGCATCAGTGGATGGATTTTGCCTGCAGCAATTTTTTTTTTAGGCATTTTCTTCATTTGGGGTAGTGCAAGATGCTCGAAGTTCATCCATGCTCATTTTGTATATTCCCTGCACCAGCACCAGAATGAGCATTTTTTTTTCCCAAGGAGCATGCATAGAAACTTTTTCCATTCTTAATTTACAGAGTGGTTTCTGGAATGTGAGAAATTTGATTCTTGTTCCTGTGCCTTTGTTCTTCCCTTTCCTGGAGTTGTAAATATCCAACCTGTAATATTCTATCTGTTACCCTAGAGCAAACCTTTTAAGATCTACCTAGGTCACATCCTAATTCACATTCTGTAAGGGTAGATGAGAACCTTGAATTTGCAACTGATCTTAATTTTCCAATTTCCATAAGTTAACTATCCCCAAGTTACCATAACTATCTTGTATTCATGAATACTTTTATATTATCCAACCAGCCAAGGTCAGACTAAGTCATATTTTCTCTTGCCCTCCCTAGAACCTGGACACACATAAATGCTCAAACGTTTAAGATTACTCCATGGTCAAGTACCTTATAAAATAAAAGGTCTACTGGATAAACAGCTTTGTGAGCAGTCCTGTGGTCAGTAACATTGAATGTGAATCACAAAGTAATACTTAATTTTCTTCAGAAATTTATACTAGCATAGATTGTAGGACTTTAATAATTGAAGATTGGTGGGTAGATTAAGCAGACACACTAAAGCATCTGCTTCTTCCTTTCCATGCTTTTCTAGCTTCTGACTTCAGCATATTACACAGATTGTTCTGGCTCGGATCATGAGTGAAACATTCCTCTTGCTAAGTCAAATAGACATTTGGATCCTCTTTTTATGTGACCTTTCAGCAACAATTGTCATATATTGACAATTCTCATATATTGACAAAAGCAGCAATTCTCATACATCATTCTCTCCTCACTGAAGTAGTCATCCTTTTGCTTCCCTGGCACTATATTCACTTTATTTCTACCCACTTTTGAACACCGTTTCTTGTTCACTCTTTTTGCTCTTTCCTTCTAGTCGGTGTATGTTTTTCTAATAAAATTTTTCAAAAAAAAAACCTCGAAAACCAAACTCACTGCAGTTGAGTTGGTCCCAACTCATAGTGACCCCTCAGGTTTCCAAGGCAGTATGTCTGTGGAAGTAGATTGCCTAGTCTTCTGAAGTGGCTGGTGGGTTAGAACCCCCAGCCTTCTGGTTAGCAGTCAAATGCCTTGGGCACTATGCCACCAGACCTCCCATTTTTTAAAGAGATCCTAAATTTTTCAAAGGAATAATTAATTGAACATGAATATACTCACCACCATGTCAACAGTTGTTAATATTTTGCTGTATTTATTTGAGCTATGTATTTTCCTACCTGAACCATTTCGACCCATATTACACATAGCCCAATACTTCACTTCTAAGTGCTTACATGTATTTCTCTGAAAAACATTTTTCTTTATAACCTCAATAACATTATCACCCCTGATAAATTAACTATAATTCTATAATATCATCTGATTTGCAGTCCATATTAAGATTTATTTATTTGTCTCAAAAATGTTTTTATATCCATCATCCAGGATCTAGTTAAGGTCATTCATTATATTTGGTTGTCAATGTCTTTTAAGTCCATTTAATCAAAAACAGCCCTTTTCCTTCTTTTTTAACCTTTTTTTTTTTTAAATCTGGACTTTAATTTTTTTTAAGAGTTCAAACACATTATTTTATAAAATGCCCTACATTTGGGTTTGTGTGATTGTTTTATATGCCAGTAGTCTGTAAACTTAGATCTAAATTTAAGCTTGATTAGAGTCAAGTTAGACTTCTTATTTGAATACTTCTCGTACTTCATATTGTACATATAATGTCTCATTGTCCCTCTGTAAAATGATTTAAAGTTTGATCACTGAGTCATAGTGGTACAGGCAGAGCTTCCCATTTTTAAAATGGAGTTTTTTCTTTGCAATCAGTAAGTAATCTGTGAAATAACTTTGGTACCATGTGAATATCCATTTCCACACCAACCTTTCACCAAATGGTTTTAACATCTGTTAATGATCTTTGCACTTACCATCAGTGTGTACTGTATTTGCAGATAACATCTTTTTTATCTGTTTTGAAAGACATTTTGAAGTATTTGCAAACTTTCATAAGGTATTCCCAACTAGTATTTGTTGTTGTTGTTGTTATGTGCCGTCGAGTCAGCCCTGACTCATAGCGACCCCTCCTTGGGTTTCCGAGGCAGTATCACTACGGAAGTAGGATTGCCCAACCTTCCTTCCGAGGAGTGGCTGGTGGGTTTGAACCGCCAGCCGTCTGGTTAGCAGGCAAGTGTCTTAGCCACTATGCTACCAGAGCTCCCCCCAACTAGTATAGCTTAAGCCAAAGACCTGCTTAATCCCAAAATTTCATGTTTCAGTGAACAACCTTAGAAACCATTGATGTAAAATAAACAAATTTAAATTAGTAAATTATTTTTCTTTGTGTTTCAGATACGTCGGTAACCTTTCCAGAGATGTGACAGAAGCTCTAATTCTCCAGCTCTTTAGCCAAATTGGACCTTGTAAAAACTGCAAAATGATTATGGATGTAAGGGTACTTTACTTACTTAACTTTCTTCTTTTTTTATATACATAACTCAGTGCTTTTATTTCCAGGAACTCTTAGTTTGTAAAATCTAAATTCATAGAGACTTTAGTGAATTTATAATGAATCAGTTTGGGTCACTGAGTCTGTTTTACTAAATAAAGGAAAAGAGAAGGGACCTAGTCATTCATAGAGCACGTGAGAACTATAGGTAAGTTGTTATTTTAAGGTATATTAAGGCATCAGTTGTTTATTTTATATATGGTATAAATTGATTGGTTAATCTAGAAATCACTTATTTTACATGCATTATCACAAATCTCTACAGAAATATTGTAAAGCAAATGTTACTCCCATTTCATATATGAAGAAATGAGGTAAAGCAAAGATTTACATCCAGGTGGATCTATCTAAACATAAATCCTCTGCATTGGTTTGTGTGCTGCCAGTCTCTCTCCCTGTCTTGTTCATTTTAGGTAATATCCCTGAGAAAAAGGTCACGAGATTAATCATTAATGGCTGCCATACCTACAGAAAAGACTAGTTAGGTTAGCCTATGCCACTTTTTATAAATTTTGGTTTTTAATCACATTCAGAGACTTCTGTTAGCAGTTTCTTCAAATTCAAATCTAAATGCCAGTCTGTTTACACTTTTGGAGTGATAATCACATTTATGAATTTTGTATTCCCTTAGAAGGTAAAAGCTGATAATGTATGTGGTTAGATTCTTCTTATTTAAAAAACTGATTTTTTTTTTCTGGGTACAAATTAAGTAAAATGAAAATTCTTTTTTGTTCATTTGCTAGGCTCATACATGCAAGCTTCTTTTTCTAACCATACTCAAAGATACCTGTCCGCACTGATCGTTGTTACAGAATTCCTACTAAGTGTATCATTAGTTTTGAATTGTTCAATTTTTAAAGTATTTTTATATTCTGTTTTCTAAATAACAGGATAGTCCTCAAATCATGAATTTTATGGTTGCTGCCTCCTTGCTATAAAATTCTTAAAAATCTTTGAAAGTGACATTTTAAAATTATTAATTGTACATGAAACAAAATAATATATTCCTTTATTCTACTAGCTTTCCAGTCTTATGAATTAGTTTCTTTTAATAATTTGCTTATGAGATTGTGGAAAGAAAGAATTATAAATGGACTAGAAGTTAATTGGTATTTTACTCTTATAAGTGTAAAGTACTTGGTGAGTTTTTTTTCTTCTTGTTTAGTGTACAGTAAAACTTCCAGGCTTCACTTATCATACAACCTCAACTACCTGGAACACTTGCAGAAAAAGAGAATTTTTAAAAAAACTAAGCAGGCAAAAATGTTGTTAGATAGTCTATATTCTAAAGCCTATTCTAAAACTTTACTTACTAGAGAAGCTCTTTAGTTATCAGAGCCTTATTACCTATATTTCAGAAATAGAAGCAACAAGGAGGTATACATTTGTAGCAATATAAATAATAAATGATAGGGAAGGGAAAGAAAAATTTAAAAATTGTAAAAAGACTTTAACAGCAAGACCTGAAAACACAAGGGTCTAATCAAACCTCATTTCTGTGGCTTAAAAAAAAAATCGTACTTACTCCTCACTTATTGACATGGTTAGATTCTGTTTTGGTTATCTCTAGTACTGCTCTAACAGATACACCCAAAAATGGGTTAGCTTTAATAAACAGGAGTTTATTTTCTCACAATAGGAGGCTAGAAGTCTGAGTTCAAAGTGCCAGGATCTTGGAGCTGGGTGAAAGCCCCTTGGCCTTGGGCTTCAGCTCTGCCTCTTGCTCCCAGCCCATTGAAGCTTCACTCAGGCGGCTGCTGGCTGCTGAGGCTGACAAACCCCAGGTCAACAAGTAAAAAGGCACAACCCTGATACTACCAAACCATATGGCAGACCACTAATTCAATACTATTAACAGTTCCAAGATCGGCAGACAACATGGCAGGCTGCTGAACAACGACTTGGCTACATGCAGGAGTCAAGTGTGCCAAAAGCTACAGAACATTCTTAAATCTTCTCCTTACATACTGAGAGCAGACCACATCCCTATGGCAGCTACTCAGCTGCTCACAGTAGATTCTACCATGGAGTTGATTACCAGTCTCATCATGGGGAATACTACATCCAGCTGCCCAGCCGTTCAAAACCAGGCCCTGCCAACGTGACACATAACCTTAGCTACTACAGGTTCCAAAGACCAGGTTGCAAAAATTGGAGTTCCATTGGAAAATGAAGGATAACCACATCAGCTCACAAAATGGAGGTGACTTCATCATTACATAACTCCCAGATTACATCATTATATAATTGCCAAACCACTAAGAATCATGGCCTAGCCAAGTTGACATGTAACCTTAGCCATCACAGCCAGCATTACTCTGCCTGGCACCTTGGTGTTCATTACTAGCAGATGTACATTGTAAATGTGCAAAATAATTGGATGGTAGGTTTGTGGGTTTTTTTTTTTTTTTAATACTATTGTTGGAAATGCAGAATGTCAGACTACAAGGTAATAAGTAAGGAGTAGGTGTTTGTGATAATGGGGGGAAATATAAATATATATCCATCCATAATTAGGACACTTAGTCATTAGTAAAGGATTATATTGTATATAATAGTATAGTATAATTAGTTGAAGAAGATAGCCTTAAATAATAGTAATTCATTTTTTTTTTAAGTTTACATCTTTGTCTAAAAATTTACTTATGGAATACCTGAGATGTTGTATAAAACTTTTACAAAAATTTTGACAAATTGGTAATATAAAACTTAAAAATGACTTTTGTGGTTTTTCTCCAATAGACAGCTGGAAATGATCCATATTGTTTTGTGGAGTTCTATGAGCATCGTCATGCAGCTGCAGCACTAGCTGCTATGAATGGACGGAAGATAATGGGTAAGGTAAGCTGTCATAATTGAAGAAGGTGACTTGTACTGGAAACTTTTAAGTTATGTACAGTTTCATTTCCTTTTTAGAAGGATTACATTTACTTCACACTTCAAAGGGCAATTACTTGTATTTAATATAGAGAGAATGAGCTACAACTTTAAAAGGATAGAGGCCTGTGTTCGTGTTATTATTTTCAGTGGTGCAGTACACATGATAAATACTAAAATATTTGTTTATTCAAGCTTGGATGAAACCGCTAGGAGTGTTGGATGCTAATAGAAGCATTAAAAAAGAAAAAAATTACTTTAGGTTAGGAAAGATTAATTGCAGGTTAATAGAACAGTGTATAAATTGTCAACATTACTTGTATAAGTTAAAGGATTAGTATTGGAATTCTGCCCAGAATTGTTGTCTCCTTGTGTTTCATCTTAAACACCTTCCTGTGTGATCCTAGATGTAAATCTAGTAATACCTGAGTTTGAGCTTTATTTCTTTGTTTTATTGCTATTTTTTTTTTAATTGTGATTTGGGTGAAAATTTATAGAGCAAATTCACTTCGACACAGCAGTTCACATACACTTTCTCTCAAGACGTTGACCACAATTTTGAGCTTTATTTTTATGGAGTATAAATGTAGAAATATTTTTTTTTAGGAAGTCAAAGTGAATTGGGCAACAACTCCCAGCAGCCAAAAGAAAGATACAAGCAGTAAGTATATTTTATACTTTTTGAACATTTGTTTTTATTTTCCACAGTAGTTTTATTGTAAAGCATATAAACATCATACATATTTGCAGTAATGTTTTGATCGTTATCCTAAGATATGATTTAATGTGTTTGTGTTAATAAATTTAAGAACAAATCTAATCTTTGTCATCAGGTAGTACCGTTGTCAGCACACAGCGTTCACAAGGTAATTGTATCTTCTTAAACATAAAATGAAATCTCTTGAAAAGGGTATTCACTAACCACCTGAAGTTTTTTTGTTTGATATTGGGGGGAGGGGGAGGGAAGGGGTCGTATTTCTATTTGTCTCTCTGGCAATATTTTTCCCCCTTCTTCCCAGTGTTGACTGAGTGTGGCTTGTCCACTACTTTGGTGCTATTTCAAGCTCTCTGACCCCCTTGATAGCAGCTGATGTCTTAGAAATACTTTCATCAACTAAAGGGCAAGATACCCTGCTTCCTTGAGGTCACGATCTGTGCTTCATACCCAGATCTTCAGAATGCTTGAGTTGCTCCTGAAACTGTGTTTCCCAAATGGCAACCCAATATGTTGCTTAAGGCCTGCCAAATAGGGGTAACTTTTTTTTCCAAATATACTTTATCAAAATTTATATAAATGTCCATTTTGAAGTGTTGGTCCAACTATTTTTAAGTGTTTCTGGGTTTTTTGAGAATTGTCTTAAAAAACTTCAGATATGGGATCGTATTTCTCTCCAATGCTTTTTTAATGACTCTGATATAAAGTGAAGGGATTACTGTTTTCATTCTGTTGCCTTCAGTCTTAGTTCACTTGCACATGGATTCACATAAACTGAATGGTGTAATGTCTGGGCAACCAAAACTGTTGGCTTTTGAGAAAACTGTCAAATACTTTAACATCAAACTGTTGCAATGCAAGGTATTTCTTTGATTGTTCTTCACAAAATATGGTTAAACCAAGTGTATCATGTAGCTAGCTTCAGTAAATTGTCTTAACTGAGGCCAATCTAGTCAACATAACTCACAGTACCACTATTTTATTATAATTTGTAAAGCCTTAATATAGTGGTAAGCTGAATAAACGTAAATAATTACTATTAGAATGGTAACTAAATCATTACATTTTTTACAGTACTTAAACTTGTTATATGTTATTATTTTATATTCTTAGACCAGTATAATTGGCTGTCAGAAATATAACTGTCATTTTCAAGTTAGGTATATCACAGTGTTTTTAGGAGAATCTTTACGTATTGTCACCTTAATTATGTTTAAAATTGATAGGATTTATATAGATATAGGATAGTGTTTATTTATACTATAATCCAAAAATTATTTTAAGAATACTTTATTGAATTGATTCTCGTATTTTTTAAATTCTAAAGTTCTATTTTTCTTTTCACTTCCCCTTCCTTCCCTTTGTAAGATCATTTCCATGTCTTTGTTGGTGATCTCAGTCCAGAAATTACAACTGAAGATATAAAAGCTGCTTTTGCACCATTTGGAAGAATATCGTAAGTAACAGAAGATAAATTTAAAATTATTTTAATTGGAAACAATCCTATATAGAAGTACTTTGAAAATTGTGAATTTTGAGCATTAATTTTAACATTGAATATAATGTATTATATTGTTTAGAGGCTATATAGGTAAATAACAGCATAAGATTATTTTCCCATTGATGAATAAATTTTTGGTCTTTAATTACTTTTAAATCCTTTTTCAATTAGCATTAGCTTCAAAGAAAGAAATTTGTCATTGTACATATACATATGGTTTTTTATATAGGTGTCTTGCTAGCTTGGTTATAATCTTTAGTATACTTGTGCTGTAACTAAGGAATTTAGACCTTTGGGCACTGCTATGATACCATGCATTTTGTGTTAATATATTTGAAAAAAAAAGAAAGAAAACTTAACAATTCAGTTATTAAGTGACCTTTTTTACCTACTTTTTTTTTTTTTTTTTAACTGTTCACAACAGTCAAGTCTTAATATTCTGTGAAGTACCATCTTGCTTGCATTTGTTATTAATTATACATTTTAGGCCCTTTGTAAATAGCTCACTCAAGGTGCAGTTTGTCATAAAAGAACTGTATTTTAAAAAGCATCTCATAGTAGAGTTAGAATAAATTGTTGATTTAGCAATAGTTTTTTAGGGTTTCTGGTTGCTTTCTAATTTTTGTTCAACTGGAACAGTAGTGAAAAGGAATGCTAGGTGTAGTTTGGTTTGATGAACAATCACCAGAGATGAGAGGGTGAGGAGTGTGGAAAGTAATTGCCAGTAGTATTAGTGGTGAATTTTGGGGGTTTTCATTTGAAGAGTTGTAGTTCATTGGTAAGAAGATAAAGAAACATAGTGACCAAAAAATGGCTATAAATAAGGGGCCAGCTTCAAAGGCATTCATAAGATTAGGGATTATAAATGGACTATTACTCTGTTAGATGACATTTTTCTTTGTGACAATTGATTAGGAAAATAAGGATGGTTTTAATTTCTTGATTATTCCTCTTAATCTTTCTCAAGTTTTCAATAATATTTAGCTTGCTTTCAGATACCTAGACTAGACAGTCTAAAACCTTTGGTTTCTCAAGGGCTTACAGATCACTGTATGCACAATTTTGTGTACACTTTTATTCTGGTGTGGAAAATCCCTCTTAAGTTTCATTTGCTTGTCAGATTAATCATAGGATTAAGAACACTGATCTAGATCTTTTATTATTTCTTCCTCAGAGAATCTTTGACAGAGAAATGAGTAACAGTTGATTATATTTCAAAGCTAACATTTCCTGAGACTTGACTTTAAGAAGACAAAACTTTTCTAACTTTGTTAATAGATTAAGTAGCTGTTTTCTCAAATGCTTTCATTTTGATTGAAGTAGCATTTCTGAAAAAGCACAGGAATTTAAATTTAGGATTAGTTAAAATTGTTTTAACAGTTGGTGAGTTTAAGGTAAATGATATTCAAATTTTAGTAATTCTGTTACTTTTAATTATGAATCAGTGATTTCTTTTTGGTAAATAAGTTGGAATATTTTTAGTCTATAGATTTTCTTATGGTCCTCTATGATTATTGATGTGCATAGTATTTTTTCTTGGTAAGGCCTTTCTTTGAGTTTTATAGTTTTCATTTGAGGTTATGTATAAGATCTGAGCTTTAGACTATCCAATGAGAGCCTTCCTAAATTTAAAATGATTCATTTGGCAGTTGATAGCACATTTCCTTGATTTTTTTTTTTTTTCCCAGTTCTCATGAGTTATTCCTTGTAGAGTTTGTAGAGTGCCTGTAACAGTGCTTGGTTTATAGAAGGTGTGCAACAACAACTGTGGATGGCCTATTAAAATATTTAGTATAAAAATTATTATAGTACTTTTTTTCCATAGTTTATACAATTGAAACTTCCTATTCCTTGAGTTTAGGATAATATGGCAGATTTTTGATGTAGAAGTGAATCAGCTACCAAGTTAAATGCATGTGTATGTACCATACAGATAATTTAGTAAATACATATTGAGAAGTGACTTGCATTCCTTACCCCTTTTCACTACCACCTCTTTGTCATGTTGACCCTAAAAACTTAACAAATCACTCCTAAATTGATCTAAAATATAGTTATGTATACTTTAATATAAAATTACATTGCATGGTTTTCTGACTTGGGTTTTTGTTGTGAAAGTGCCTGTTTTGTTCATGTGTCCTGAAAGAACAAGCATTGTGACATACCTGGCTAACTTAAAAGCAGATTGCCTGTGAAGCACAATTTGAGTCCAATTTTTTGAGGTATGGAGTTTTAGCTATCATGGCTGGGTTTTTACTCAATCTCAAATAATAGGGCTCTGGTTATTTTGCAGAGTATCTCTGAAGAATGGACAGAATTGCCCTGGCTAACTACAAGCTACGGTTCACAGTGGATAAATGTTGGCGTGCTTTTTTACTTTCTGACTCTTTAAAATTTTGCTTTTATATCTTGTAGTTTCCAATCAATCTTATATGATTGCTATTATAAAATTCAGTATAAAATCTTTTGTTGTAAAGTTAAAAGCTAAAGTGTGTGTCTAGTATTTTTCTTCACTGATTTAACATTTCTGAAAATATCAAGTTCTCAGAATTATCAGTTTACCCATAGTCCAAAAGGGGGGTATGAATTAATCTGAGAATATGAAGTAATTAAATTAATTTAGGGAATTATACCTTTTTCATTCTTTTAGTTCCCAGTTTTCTATTTTAATTTTTTAATGATTAGGTAGAATATAGTGTCAAGTAGCAGGTGTAAAATTGCATGGTTAAAGAAAGCCATTTATTTAGTATACCTTGTGAACCCTGTAAGTGGTTAAATAATTCATGTGAATAGCTGCTTTTACCATGCTTAAAGCTTAAAAACATTTTAAAGCAGGAGGAAATTTCTGTGTAATATATGCATATATATTTAAGAAGTTAGTGATTTGCATGTTTATAAAATTAAGCCTCATTTGCTAATACATAATAAATTTTATAGAATAAACAGTGAATTTGCACTAAAGGGTCACTTTAATGAAGGTGAAACATGAAAATGAGTTGTGTTTGAAATTCTCAGTTACATCCAGAGAAACGTTTGCAAATCTAAACTTCTCATTGTTTCTGATTTCAGAGATGCCCGAGTGGTTAAAGACATGGCAACAGGAAAGTCTAAGGGATATGGCTTTGTCTCCTTTTTCAACAAATGGGTGAGCTCCATAAGAACTGTATGTGTAGTGCTTTTAAGAGTGAAGAATGCAAATACTTAGTTTTAATTGGTAATCTTTCTTCCATCTGTGGTTTGTTCATTTCGTTGATGATTAGTAGTCTCTTATTATTTGGTAATTTATTTAGTACCTGATGCATGCAAAGTACTAATAAACTATTTTGGGAATATAGGAAATAAAGGGTTAAAATTATTAGCCAAAGGTAGATTTTAAAATCTCATTTGTGGGTTTAATACATTATCTCCCTGTTTTATATTGCAACAGTAACTTAAAAGTAGCTAATAAAAAATGTTCTGACATGTGGGGACATTCTTTTTATTTATCTTTTAATTATATGTTAATATATTTGAAAAATTCATACAGTTTTTTTTTCTTCAACAAATACTTATTGAACACTGATTTTCATGGGCTTGAAATTTCTGTTTTTTGCAGAGAATAGGAAGGATGGTGCAGTTTGTCAAATGGAGATGTGAGGATAGTGTATATAAAGAAGGAAATGACTCACATTTATTGTAACCACTAGATAAAATCTTTGGGATATCTTCCAAATAATGCAATGCAGCTGTTATTAAAAAAAGAAATGAGAGGTGCTATAATATTGATTATGGAAAGAGCTCCATAGTGTGTGTATCATTAGGTGAAGGGTAATTTGTGTGAAAAGGAAGGGAACATATTTGTATGACATACATACATGTAGTGTGTGTAAGGTTTCCTTTTTCCCTTGCAAGGATAAATAAGAAACGTGTGATAGTTTCCTGCTTGAGGAAGGGGTGTGATGAGAACTAGATATATGAAGGCCAGAGAGGGATGCTTCTATCACTATGTTGTGCTTTTGATGTTTGGACTTAGTAAATGTATTATCGATTCAAATAATTAAACAAAAATTTAACTCTTTTAGTATGATAACTAAAGGTTCAAAATAATCACAGAGATAACACACTTTCAGAAATGTTAGGGTTTGTGGCAGGAAAATTTGTAAGCACTAATCTTGGAATAAACACCAAGGTTTCATTAATCTTGGGTTTTATTGTGTTACCTTTGTGCTATGATTTTTGTTGTTTGCCATTGCATCTGTTGCAATTCATAGCAACCTTTTATGACAGATTAGAACTGCCTCATAAGACTACCTAGGCTTCATTCAGTCTTTATGGAAGTCACTGGTGGGTTTGAACTGCAGACTTTCTGGTTAGCAAACAAACGCTTAACTGTTGGTTCCACCTGGGCTCCTTAAGTTATGACTAGTGGTTGTCAATATTATGTGTAAAAACACTGTACCTTTAGTGCTAGAGAGCCTTAGAATGAGCCTTTAAAAGTTTTTGATGGTAGGTATTTTAGAAAGACATTTCTTATTTAGTAAATGGAGAGAGAGATGGATTCATTGATTGTATATGTGTATGGAAATACGTAGTTTCTTGATGACTCCAGGTCAGATACATGAACATCAATTATTGTAATATGCTATGATGTAGTCATTCTTTCTGGGAGTTTTGTTTTATAAAGCACATGTATTTGCAGCAATGCAAATGACACCATACAATCATGTTTTTTTCTAGTTCATGTGTCTTTGTGAATTGCAACTAATGTCTAGTGTTCCTCACTATGAACTTTTATTATCCGGATATTTGCTACAACATTCTGTAACCATTTTTGCTCCAAATTCACTATCCAAATAAGAAATCTGTTCTAAAAATGTTTACATGGCTCGCAAGTCCAGGCAAGGGAATGTAGACTTCACTACAAGTCTTGTCACATCTTGTGATCATATTGTTTAAATGTGTAGTCCACTGTCACTATCACCTTCCTTATACAAAGTAAAAATATCTTCTAAGAAAGTGGAAAATCTGTGAAGAGAGTAGATAAGCCTAAGAGGTTGTTAAACAATCTGTGTATTAAAAGAAAAGTTGGAAATGATACATTTTGAGAGGTGAAAAGATGTAAACTTGACCACATGTGTGTCCTATATGCTGTTCATAGCATTTTTTTCCCTGTGAGATAAGTAAATAAAAACTATGGGAGTATAGTTAGTTCTGAAAGCTTTACTGTAATAATTCAATCACAGCTTATTTTGGAAAGGTGAAAAACTACCTTGTACAGTGGTATGATAGCCACAATTAATGTGAGTTCTTTGGAGGATTGATACATAGGTTTCCAGATTGTTTTAGTGCTATTTGGAGAAATGGGTTAGGGTTTTTGGATGGGCTGGAAACCCATTTTTCCCATTTGAAATTTTTGAATATAGGTTCCTGTTATATAAAAAAATCACACTGAATGCATATTTAATATGAACTAGAGTCACATAGCAAAGGATATCTGGGTATAGTCTCTAGAGTCAACCAGAGATGGATTTGAATCCTGACAACTATCAGTAAGTAATTTCTTTTTCCCAAGTTTACATATCAACTTCTCTGAAATTTGTGATAAGTAATTGGCACTTTCTGGTGTGCAGTGCTACAGCCCTGTTAATGATAACCTCTGACCCTCTTGCTTCTCTCCTGTGTTGCACATACTAAGACAAAACCATACTGGTTGAACTCAGTTTCTTTGCCCACTTTGAAGTAATTAAATATTACTAGAGAAAAGTCATACAAGTGCATCAGCTATTTTCACTTTTGATTTAATGGTCACACACTTTAGAAGAGTACTCAGTACTGTCCTTGCAAACCTGTTGCTGTAATGAGTTTGAATTGGTAAGATCTGTTTCATACTCCCTGTTGTCTCCTCAAGTATCTCTCACTTCTTTTTCCTTCATTATACTGAGCTGACAACCTTATCTCTTGCTTCATTGAGAAAATACAAAAAAAAAAAAAAGAAAACCAGCCTCAACTGCCATAGAGTTGATTCCAACTCATAGCAACCACTCCTTGGGTTTCCGAGGCAGTATCTCTATGCAAGTAGATTGCCCAGTCTTCTTCCGAGGAGTGGCTGGTGGGTTTGAACCTCCAGCCTTCTAGTTAGCAGTCAAATGCCTCAGCCACTATACCACCATCACCATAATCAATTTTAGAACATTTTCATCACTCCTCACAAAACCCAACCTATTAACAGTCACTACCTTTTCCCCTGTAACCTTCAGCACCTGGGCAACTACTAATCTATTTTCTGTCTAGAGATTTGCCTGTTCTGAAGAGTTCTATAAATCAATCAATGTTATGTGTTGTGATTATTCTTGCTATAGTATGTCATCCATCTCTTCCTCTTCACTGGATCATTCCCATCAACCAAAAAAATACGTTGTAGTAGCTCTCTAAACCACCGCCCCCCCCCAAAAAAAAAACCCACTGTTCTCAAGTCGGTTCCAACTCATAGTGACCCCCACTGGATTTCCAAGGCTATAAATCTTCACAGAAGTAGATTGCCCCATCTTCTTTCCACGGATTGGGTTTGAACCACCAGCCTTTTGGTTCGCAGTCAATTGCCTTAGGCACATATCACCAGAGCTCTTTCGTCTCTCTCTAATATCTCTTAATTAAGACTACAGTTAATCCCAAATCCTCCAGCTATATCCCCATTTCTCTGCTATAATTCAGAATTAGACTTCTCTAAAGAGTTGTTTACATAGGTTTCCACCACTTCATCTCCCATTCACAACCACCACTACCCAAATACCCCATAAAAAGGTTTTTGTGAGTGTGTCATAATGTTTGTTTCCTAGGACTACCATAACAAATTACCATATAGATTTCTGTAGTATTAAGCTAGAAATTTATCCTTACAGCTCTGGAGGCTAGAAATCTAAAATAAAGGTGTCTGCAGGACCATGCTTCCTCTGAAGACTCTTGGGAAGAAATCTTCTTGCCTCTTCTTAGCTTCTGGTTGTTGCCAGCAGTCCTTGACGTTCTTTAGCTTTCTAGCCATATATCATTTCTGTCTCCCACTTCACGTGGCCCTCTTCCCTCGGTGTGTCTCGGTGTGGTCTAATTAATGGATTTAGGGCCTGCCTAATGCAATATGACTTTAATTATGACTGTAAAGACCCTCTTTCCAAATAAGGTCACATTCACAGGTACTGGGTGGTTAGGATTTCAATACATATTTTGGTGGGATACAGTGCAACTCAACAAAAGTAGTGTAACATCTCACAGAGTTCAAACTGGTTGGTGTAGTAAACAATCTTTGTTTTATGAATACACATTTCCTTTTTAGGCATCTCAAGAATAACTTTTAGCCTTGAATTTGCCTTCATTCCTTTAGTGGTAAGCTAAGCCCACATTTCAAATATACAAACCAAGCTATATCCCCATTTACTTTTCAGCCCACTCTAAGCTGGTTTTTGTTCTCATTTTCGTATTAGCATTAATCTTTTCAAAAGATACAAGCAGTTTATGATCAGCTGCTAACCTAGATAGAGGTTGGTGGTTTGAAACCCACCCATTAGCTCTGTGGAAGGAAAGGCCTGCTGGTGATCTGCTTCTGTAAAGTTTACAGCCAAGAACATCCTGTGGAGCAGTCACACATGGGGTTGCCTGAGTCAGGAGCATGCTTGGCTATCCCTAATGACTCTTTTCAATGTCATCAGTGATCTCTATTTTACTGACCTCTGCTTCCTTGACTCCCTGTAGTCTGCTTCTGTGGATTTCGTCATCCCTCACTGGCTACTCTTCCATAGTCCTCTTAACTAACAATAAATAATTCCTTTACTCAGTTTTCAAATTTTGCTTTTTTTCTGGGCTCTAACCCATGCCTCCTTTTCTCTCTCTAGTCTTTCTTCTTGAGTCTGAATTGTGTAGTCTTACTTCTCTGTACACCATACTTATTACCAAATGATCTCCATTTAGGTATCTCATAGACATCTCCTACTTAACCTCTTGTTTTAGTTTTCTAGTGCTGCTGTAGCAGAATTTCCACAGTGGTTGGGCTTAATGATCAGAAATACATTCTCTTACAATGTCGGAGTCTAGAAATCCACGTTCGGGGCACCACTTTCAGGAGGTGCTTGCTTGCTTTTTTGCCACACTGGTGGAAAATCCTTACCTCAGCTTCTCTAGCATTCTTTGCATTTCTTAGAGATTTCCCTGTTGCATCTGTCTTTCCCCTATTCATGCTTGTGTACTTCGATGCCTAATCTGCTCTTTATATCTCAAAAGTGATTGGCCTAATGCACACATTATACTGATAATGGTCTCATTAACTTAAAACTCTTCCCAAATGGGATAGCAACCACAGGTATATAGGGGTTAGGATTTAAAACACATATTTTAGGAGGACACAATTCCATTTATACATGTCTTAAATGGAGTTCTTTGTTTCTTTCCCAAACCCATTCCCTTCCTGCTTCCCAGTCTTTCTCCCCATTTCAGTGAATGACAGCACTGTCCTCCCAACTAACTCTTCCTTTAGATTATATCCACGGCTACTACAGTAGTCCTGGCCATTAACTTTTCTGGCTACAATATTGCAGTAACCTCATAAAGCATCTTTATCTTTTTACTGTTTGTCCTAAATCATTCTCCTCCTAGCCTTAAGCCTGGTCGCCATCTTCTTCTTTTTATTAAAGAAGACTTTCTTAAAATATAGATCATAATAATCTCTTACTCTGACACCCTTCCTTTGCTCACTTGATTCCACTGAAACTAATCTTTCTCATTCTTTTAGATTCATACCAAACTCTTTCCTACCTTAGCACCTTTGCTGTTCTTTTCCCTCTACCATTGTTTTGACTTGGCTGTCTCTAACTCCTCTCAATCTTAGCTTACATGTCATTTTAGAGAGATCTGCCCTAATCATGCTGTCTAAAGTAGTTCCCCACACCTCCTTATATTCTCTATCTCAGCCTATTGTTTCCACCATGCCACTTAGCACAATTTACAATTACTTTTTTTGTCCCCCCACAAAAATATAAGACCCATGGCAGGAGACGATGTCTGTCTTATTCACCAGTGTAACTCTAGCACATAATCTGGTGTCTAGATTATAATTCTTGCTTAGGACCTATTTGTTGGATGAGTGAGTTACCAGATACTGTCATCTGAGTGGATACATGAACTTCATGAATTACTTCCTGAGGGCTTTTGAACTTAGGGCTTTCTCAGGTGATTACCATTCCCAGAATCTGATACCCAAATAAAATTTAAAAGCACCATTGGCATTTTAGGAATGCTGTCGTATATTGTGTATTTCTTAAAGCATTTTCTTTCAGAGAACATTTGTGAAAAGCAACCATGCATTTTCTCTACTGCTGAAAGTTGTTTAACATCAACTAATAGTGGCTTTTTTGTTTCTAATGTTGTGCGCAACAGGATGCTGAAAACGCCATTCAACAGATGGGTGGCCAGTGGCTTGGTGGAAGACAAATCAGAACTAACTGGGCAACCCGAAAGCCTCCAGCTCCAAAGAGTACATATGAGTGTAGGTGTATTGGAGAAGAAAAGGAAATGTGGAATTTTGGAGAAAAATACACTAGATTTTAAATGTTAGAGCTGTTCCCGGAGACTTATTGCAGAAATAGATGAGAAGCAAATCAAGACTACTGTTCAAAAATGTACTTAGTTTTCATTTTTGTAATTATAACAAATGATATCCTCTCTAATGTCAAGTCTCCTCTTAAAAAATAGAGAATCTGGGTACTTTTTTCAGATATCATTGGGGGAGGTTTAATATTAAATGTGATACATTATGTAAGCAATTTAGTAAAGGTAAATATTATTAACGTTATAATAGTGTAGTAAAAGCTACTTTTCTCTTTCCAAGTATTTTATTTAATGAATTGAAAATACAAACTTTATCTCTCCCCAGCAAATACCAAACAGCTATCATATGATGAGGTTGTAAATCAGTCTAGTCCAAGCAACTGTACTGTATATTGTGGAGGTGTTACTTCTGGGCTAACAGGTATGGGAGCTTTACCTGTGTGGTGTCTTGAGATAATTTTTGGACTAGAAGCGTGATACATGTAGGACTTTTGTATAGCTTAATATGGGGTTTTTTTGTTTCTTTTTTACCTAACAGAACAACTAATGCGTCAGACTTTTTCACCATTTGGACAAATAATGGAAATTCGAGTCTTTCCAGATAAAGGATATTCATTTATTCGGTAGGGGTATTTAGAGTTGTTGTTTTTTTTTTTTTTTTCATCTTTTTTCCCAAATAATGTTTGACTATTTAACTTAGTGCTTTTCTTAAAAATTTACCTTGTTTATGAAGAAATGGAAATTTCTCTGATATTTAGCATATTTGTTGCTATTTCCTTTCATTGTTGTTGCTCCTTTCTTTGAACACAAGGCCAGCCAAACCCATCCTTTATTAAAATAAGTTTCTCCAGAACAAGAAGATCTTTGAAAAAAAAATAGTGAAGGAAATATGCCATTTTATTAATTCTTTTATGTGAGCTGCTTGTTTTTACCTCAGGTTCAGTTTGATTTTTAAAAACAGATTTTATTCATAAATATTTAAGAGAATTTGTGTCAGTAATTCTTAACATTGTCTTCAATAGGTTCAATTCCCATGAAAGTGCAGCACATGCAATTGTTTCTGTTAATGGTACTACCATTGAAGGTCATGTTGTGAAATGTTATTGGGGCAAAGAGACTCTTGATATGATAAATCCCGTGCAACAGGTAAGAAAGTCCTTAATTTTAAGAAATAATTACTGAGCTAATAATGAAGCTTACTTTTAAATGAAAATTGTAGATAATCCTTGCTGATAAATTTCTAGCTAAAATTGTAGCATATAAGGGGCTCTTCCTACATGTATTATAGTTCCAGAGTTGGTACTGGGAAATTAGGGTACTGCTCTAACAGACACCTAAAATATGGAAGTAGGAGTGGAATGCATCCTTGAACCCAACATCCTTACCGAGAGACTGGCATTTGGACTTCTGGACTGTTAAGAGTTCTCTAGTGTTGCTGTAACAGAAAAGCCACAAGCGGATGGCTTCAACAAACAGAAATTTCTGGTACAGTTGAGGAGACTAGAAGTCCAAATGCAGAGTATTAGCTCTAGTGGAAGACTAGGCTAGAAGTCCGAGTTCAACGTGCCAGTTCTAGGTGCTGAGTGGAGGCCCCTCGACCTTGGACCTCAGCTCTACCTTTCAGGCCCAGTAGAGCAAGCTGGAGGCATCTCCTGACTCACACAGTTGCAGGGGCTGATGAACAAGATTGACAGGCGACATAGCAGATTGTTGGCTCATAGGCAACGAATGTAATAATCCCAAAATCTACAGGCAGCATAACAGGCCACTGGTTCAAGTCTAGAAAATGGAGGTAATGAATGTGACCGCCTCATTTGACTCATGCTCACACAGTGGATTTTTTAAATGCTCTGACAAACCTAACAGTGTATTAAATCTTCTTCTAATACTTGGTAGATTTATTCACATACTAGTTGGAGAACTTTAACTTTGAACAAGCATGCTTGACTCAACTGAAACAAAAATGGAGCTAAAAATACATTCAGAGCCATGGCATTTTCTTTTAGATCTTGCTGCTTTTGTTTTTCCAGGCAGCTTTAGTGGTTCAAACTTGTTCCCACAAAAATTTCTATGAGGAAGTTGTAAATGGAGCATGGAGGTAGAGTAAGAAAATGCTAAATTGTACAGGTTTCTCACATAAATGAATTAAATATAGTAATAAGTAATCTTTTTATTTTCCCTATCTAAAGGAAACAGCCATGTGGATAGTCTTAATATTATTAGGACATAACTGCTGCCTGACAAAGGGTGTGTGTTTATTTAGTTAGTTAGTTTTCATTGTAATTTGGGTGAAAGTTTACATAGCAAATTCATTTTCCATACGGCAGTTGATACACATTTTGTTTCATGATGTTGTCGTTGTTGTTATGTGCCGTCGAGTTGGCCCCGACTCATAGCGACCCCTCCTTGGGTTTCCGAGGCAGTATCACTACGGAAGTAGGATTGCCCAACCTTCCTTCCGAGGAGTGGCTGGTGGGTTTGAACCGCCAGCCGTCTGGTTAGCAGGCAAGTGTCTTAGCCACTATGCTACCAGAGCTCCCTTGTTTATGATACTGACTGCAATCCCCACAGTGTAACAGCTCTCTTCCCACTTCCTCCTTGTAGTTACTACTTCCCTGTATCCTCCTTTCCTATGGATTCCTACTCTGAGCTATCACCCTGTGCAAATACTGCCCTTCTGTTCTCCCGTGATTGATTATTCTAAGGAGTATATCTACTTGGTGAAAATGTTCACCTTGTATTATATGCCTGGGAGCTCTGGTGGCTTAGTGCCTAAGGCATGTGACTGCTAACCAGAAGGCTGGCAGTTCAAACCCACCAGCCACTCCTCAGAAGGAAGGTTGGGCAGCCTACTTCTGTGGCAATACTGCCTCGGAAACCCAAGGAGGGACCACTATGAGTTGGATCCAACTCGATAGCAGTGAGTTTGGGTTTTTTGGTTTGGTATTATTATATGCCTGTTGTTTGGCTGGAAGCCATGGGAGTGAGTTCAATTCCAGACCTGAAGGATAACTAGGGGCTGTAGTCTCAGGGGTCTCACCAGGCTCTTAAACTTGGTCATTTTTATGATTTTGAGTTTTGTTGTACATTGTTTTCCCACTCTATCCAGGATCTCCTGTACCAATACCCCTCTGAGTGGTTGACAGTGGTAGCCAGGCACCATCTGCTGCTTCAGGTCTCATGGTCAACTAGTCCCTTGGACTAATTGTTTCCATGCATCTTTGGTTTTTTTCATTCTTTGCTCTGGACAAGGAGAAGACCCATTGTTGCATCTAGATGCCCGAGTCCATGCTTTTAAGACCCTAGTCACTACTCACCAAAGTAGGATGTAGAACAGTGTTTTTGTGTAATATGTTATGTCACTTGAGCACGATGTCCCCTGCGACCATCATCCCTAGCAAAGGGTATGCGTTTAGAGCATCATGTAGAGTTTTAACAGTATAGCCTCACTTTTTTTTTTTCTAACAGTCATTTATTAAACTTGTTTATCCTGTCATTTTAATTCTAATGATGGCTCTCTTATCTTATGGCTGTATATTTATGGACTTCTACAACTATTTCTGAACAAATATCTTCAAATAATACTCACTTACAAAATTTTATTTAACAGCAGAATCAAATTGGATATCCACAAGCTTATGGCCAGTGGGGCCAGTGGTACGGAAATGCACAACAAATTGGCCAGTATATGCCTAATGGTTGGCAAGTACCTGCATATGGAATGTATGGCCAGGCATGGAACCAGCAGGGATTTAAGTAAGCACATTTGTTCTTTTCTTTATTGACCTTAGAAAATGTCTTTTAACTTAGAATAAAATTTTAAGTAATTAGTAGGTATTGTGGCCCTCTGTCTAAAGCATAGATTTTAGCCTTTGAAGGCTAAAATATAAATAAAATAAAAAATAAAGTATAGAATAGTTTTTAATTAAATGTTTCTCTGTGAAATTTTGTCTGGAAATATGTTGTCTTGAGGTAAGACCAGCATCATACAAATTTTGGTCATGTTTGGTAATGAATCACTAATTTTTTAGTAAGAACGTAACAATTTAATAATTGATATGATTTTTACTGACATACGGTCACTTAGTAAGCTTTTCTTAGATACAGTTATTTTGATGCCAGTTTTATCCAATATGCTTTTTCTGTGCAGAAGCACTTACTAATACGTTGTTTTGTGGCTAGCTTCCTTGTTGTTGTTATTTGCCGTCGAGTCGGCCCTGACTCATAGCGACCCCTCCTTGGGTTTCCGAGGCAGTTATCACTACGGAAGTAGGATTGCCCAACCCTCCTTCCGAGGAGTGGCTGGTGGGTTTGAACCGCTAGCCTTCTGGTTAGCAGTCAAGTGCCTTAGGCACTATGCTACCAGAGCTCCTAGCTTCCTTACACATCCTGAATTAATCAATTTTACTTAAATTTCTGAAGAACTAGAAAACAAAAATTTTTGGTTATAAAAGAATTGTTATATGTAATATTGACAAAAATCTGTGTGCTTACATATTCTAAAATTGTTTCATTTTCTTCTTTGAGTAGTATAAAACTAGTCCTAATCATATCAACATATGTCCTATCCAGATGGGCAGTTTTCCTTTCAGAGATGAGAAGTGGGTTTTTCTGAGTTCAAAGGGGATAAATATTTCTAGGTTAAGAGTTAGCTGTAATTCCTAAAAAAAAAATTAAACATATGGGGATGCTTATTTTTAAGGTAAAAAACTTTTACATTTGTTTTTCTCTGGTATAACAATTGTTCTTATATTTGAGTTTAAGAAAAAGTATATTTGCTATTTCCCATGTGTCTGTTACTTGTTTTGGGCATTACACTTTAATCAATGGATTTCCCCTTCCCTCTGCTTCTTTCACATTCTCTATCAGTCAGACGCAGTCTTCTGCACCATGGATGGGTCCAAATTACGGAGTGCAGCCCCCTCAAGGGCAGAACGGCAGCATGTTGCCTAACCAGCCTGCTGGGTATCGAGTGGCAGGTTATGAAACTCAATGAGAAAGGACTCCAGAATCTAAAGCCAGTGGCTTGAGGCTACAGGGAGTGTAGTAAAGCCGTTGTTTACTTAAAGATTTATCAAATCAGTCAGTGCAAATGTCAGATACAATGTATTTATTTAAAAGATTCATTTTTTTAATCATGAAATCACTTATCATCCACATTGTTTTAAAAAAAAAACAAAACAAGATGCTGGATGTCTGCCAATTTTTGCCTTCATTACCTTTTTTGATAAAGTTTCTCAGATCCTTGTTTCAAATACAAATGCAGGGATTGCTGCCACTTTTTAAAATTAAGAGGCAGAAAATTGCACAATGTTGAACTTTTTTCCACTAAAGTAGTGTGCAGTTCTAGTATGCATTCCTGATATGATTTAAAACATGTAATATAAAGGTGTAAAAAAAAAAAGGAAAACCAAAACTGTGCAGAGTCTAGAAGTTCTTTGTTAGCTTCAGCTTATGCACAATTTTGTTTTAGGTTTTTAAAAAATAGGCATTGTTTGAGCTGTCCCATCTCTACTTTTATCTCTTTGGGGTTTTAAAATATAAATTATTAGTTTACATCATTTTTGTATCTACATTTTTTCACAAATTTGTCTTGCCTTATTAAAGTTCTGTAAAATATACTTAAATGGGAAAAAAATGATGTTCACTTAAATTGAAAACTTTTCTCAGATGGATTGATAATTACATTCATTTTGTGTTTTATATGAGAAGGTGCCTCAAGAATTCCCTGTTGGATTTGTTGAAAAGGATTTTTATCTTCTATGATAAACTTTGCGTGTACCAGGAAATAGAAAAACAAAAACTTATTACTAAAGAAAATCTCTGAAATGTGATAAGTTCTTATGAACCCATGTTAATTTCATGTGTCAAGTTCTACATTTATGTGTATTATTTCATTATGTAAAATGTTTTAGCAATTTAATATTTTGCACAATTAGCGAACTTTGTATGTCATTTCCTTCTTAAAGGTATCATGCAGAGTTGACATGAGATTTATAAGGTTTTAAGTTGTTTGCATGTGAATATCAAATACACACTTTGGTAGTCTTTGAATACAAAGTCATCTGCTCTTGTTTTTCAAGAATTTTGAGGCAAAATTGTATGTAAAGGAATATTAATTTGCCATTTTCTAGTTAGATTTGCTCAAAAAGAGTAAATCAACTTAATTGTGATATGTAAAAAATGATAGCTGTGAAACTGTAGAATATCCTTATGTCAGGCTTGGGGTTCATTGTGAACTCTTAATATTAGCCTAAAGGACCAGCCAGGCAAAGCATTTTTTAAACGTTCAGAGGCCAAAAACCAAACAAAGAAAACATTTAAAATCCTACCTCCTTTAAAGAGCCTTCAAAGAGAAGAATCCTCAGTGCAATCATTATTTTTATTTTTTAGGTACCTGTTTTCCTGGAGTTCCCAGTTTTATCATTTTGGGGTAGCTCCAAGCATTAAGAGGTTTAATCTTTGATGGCATTGTTCTAGTTTTGACATTTTTCAGAGTCTTTTAGAAGAGTTGTGGGAGATTTTGTTTTCAATGAAGGTTGTCACAAACCTTCTTTGACTCATAAAGGGCAAAGACTCCCAAGTATGCATAATTAGATGGGTGGATTGTTTTTTGCTTTTTTTTTTTTAACCCTTAGACCTTCAGAGAATTCCCAGAATTTTATTTAGGAACAGAAAAGGCCTGTGAAGTCTTGTTTCTTGGCCTGTATCTTCCAGGTAGGAGCAAATGACTCTAAACTGGTCTCTAAGCCAATACACTTCTAAACCAGAGCCCAGGAAAGACAGCTCATAAGTGTATAAATGCTCTGGAGCTCAATTCTATGCAGTTGTGCGGATGTTTCATTAAGTCACTGTGTATTTTTAAGTGTTGGTACATTAAAGTTGCTTTATGGAAGACAAGTAAATTTTTTAAATACTTGGAAATTTTATTTCCTTGTTAACTTTTACAGATCAGGGCATGCAACCAAAAGCAGCTTAAATGAAATATTCTGAAAAAAAATAAATAAAATATCAGGAAGCTATTTTTAGATTCTTCTGGCTTATCTTTCTATTTTAGGACCCTCATTATTTTCTCTTATTAAAAAATATTTTTTATTTCCTGAACATCTTATGGACTGCAGGGTAAATTATTTGGGCATAAATAATTTAAGCAAAAGTATAATTTTCCTTTTATTTTGACTGTCTCAAGTAATAACACTTTTTATTAGCCAGTATATTTTCATACTGCACAAATCTTAAAATGTACAGTAACTACTTTTTGAGAAGAAAGTGGTGTCATTACTCATGATGAAAAGGTTACTACTGAACAAATTGACATTTCAGGAACATTGCTAACTTCTATTTAAATCTTAGCAAAATATCACTTAAGGATTTTTCAGTCAAAAAAATCATACTGGTGTTAGTATCAGGTAAGAAAATTAAAGTTTCTAAAACTGTTTCACTATCTGCAATATGCGTTCAGATTTTACTTTAAAATACATCTGGTACTGTAAAGAACCTGACGTGATTCACTCTTAATGAGTCATTAATCCAGTATTCTTTACCCTGACTATTTGGATATTAAAGTTCCTTTATGTTTTCTATAGCCTGTGGGATCTTGTAGTGATTATTGTGTGTGAGAATTTTTGTTTGTTTGTTTGTTTTTGGGCTAGCCATATTGTTACATCAACTCAGGGATTTTTTTGTTTCTTTTAAAATCTTTTTCTAGGAACTGTGGTTTGCATTGGGTGATTGTTTAATACCACAAAGAATTGACATTTTGAAGCTATAACTAGTTATGAAGCAAGGATCTTATTTGATATTATCTCATTGTTGAGTGAAATTCATTCTAGTTTTATTCTTTTGTTCCCGTGTTTGCTCATCTTCTTTTTGTATATTTCCTAGAGTTTATTTATGCCCTTTCAGAAGGCAATTGATAAAAGCTACAAAGGGAGGTAGGTTTTACAAACTGCTATAAAATGCTTTTGAGGCTACAGTTAAATTGGAAAAATAAATGTGTTTCTAGTGAATACAAAAAGCAGCATCTTTCAATGAGAGAGCAATGATTTCTAAAAACAAGGTCATTTTGTATTTGGGGGTTTGTTGCATTTTATTTCAACCACTGTATTTTGATAGTTGTGTTTTTAGCACTTGGTATTTTTGCCAAGATTGACCAGTAGTTAAAATATGGGAAGCATGTCTAAACTTAAAGGCTGATGTTATTCTAAAAATAAGAAAAACTAAACTCTGACTTATGGTCACTCAGCCAGTAGGCTGACATGAATTCCTGTACAGAAAGGAAATTAAGTAGAATTTTGCCTATTGGGTAAATAAGATCCCTAAGTCTTTGTCTTTATTTATTTGTTTTTCTCTCCCTTCCCTTTCCACTCCTGATAAATTTCAAAGAACAATTCTTTTCTGTATATAACTATAATATATGTGTGTGTGTGTGTGTGTGTATAGTATATAATTATTTTCTTTTTACAGTAGTATTTTCATAAAATAATTGTCCTTTCATAGACGGACTGATTTCATTCAGCATAATGGTCCTTCTCTTTAATCATCTGTAGAATACCAACAGCCAGTCTTATATCTACCAGGCAGAATGGTAGAGGATCCTTCCTTGGATAAACTAAATCACTCCCAAGAGAATAAACTAATAAATTTGTAGATTCCTACCCAAAACCAATACTGAAGTATACCAGTTAATACATCCTGCCCATATACACACCTATTCCAAATTAAAAAAAAAAAAACACACACATCAAGTCGATCCCAACTCATAGCGACCCCCATTGGGTTTCCAAACCTGTAAATCTTTACAGAAGCAGACTGCCTCATCTTTCTTCTGTGGAGTAGCTGGTGTGGGCTTGAACCACTGACCTTTTGGTTATCAGCCAAATGCCTTAACCACACAACCAGAGCTCCTCAAATGGGTTTTTAGTGCTTTGCTTTTAAAAACGGACAGCTAAAGATCACCAGAATTTTTTTTTTTTTTTGGAAAAGAAAAAATACACACACACACACATATCTTTGATCATGAAAGGTAGATCTAAACAAAAAGCTACTGGCAAGAAGTAGAAAATACTGCCTTCAAGAATGTATAGCAAATACCCTAAAGAAGTGAGAGCCATAACAAGAACAGATATATGCACGCCGATGTTCATCGCAGCACTATTTACAATAGCCAAAACTTGCAAACAACCTAGATGTCCAACAACTGAGGAATGGATAACCAAACTTTGGTACATTCACACAATGGAATACTATGCAACGCTAAAGAATAATGTAGAATCTGCAAAACACCGCATAATGTGGATGAACTTGGAGGACATTATGCTGAGTGAAATAAGTCAGTCACAAAAGGACAAATATTGTATTAGTCCGTTATTGTAAAAGTTAAGGAAAGGTTTATCTATTGGAGGTAATTTTCTTTGTTGGTTACCAGGGGTGGGAGGGGAGGGGAGGGAATGCTGTTAGATAGATAGAGATAAATATTGATTTGGGTGAAGAGAAGGGCAATGTACCAAATGTGAGTGACCAATATGGCAGCATTGAGGATGAGAAAGACATAGAGAGTTACATGGGCAGTACAGACAACAAATATGAACCTTTTTGCATATACAGTACTGAGTTGTCAGTGAAAGCAAACATGGGTATATGGACAGATAGATAGGTGAACAAGCTAAACAATTAGGTATGTCTAAATTGGGAGTGTATCCAAGATCATATATAGGGTTGGCACAGAGTGGGCCTATAAGTTCATGTGAATGATCAGAATTCCCAGGTGTATAGTAGAGCTGACAAGGGGCAAGGTTATGGTCATTGCTTGGTCACAGCCAGCTACCCAGAGGGACCGAGTAGTTGATCCTGCGGGCTTGGGACCATAGTCGCAGGGGACATCAAGCTCAATTGGCATAACATATTATATAAAACATTGTTCCACCTACTACTTTGGCGAGTAGCGACTGGGATCTTAAAAGCTAGCAAGCTGCCATCTAGATGCAACAACGGGTCTCTCCAGAAGAAAGAAGAAAACCAAAATTAATGGAAACAATCAGTCCTAGCGACTGGTACACCATCCGATCTGCAACCTATACAACTATGAGACCAGAAGAACTAGATGGTGCCCAGCTACCACTGCCATCCACTTGGAAGGGAAGTAGGAGATCCTGCATAGAGAGGGAGAACAATGTGGAACAAAAGTCAAAATCATTTGGAGGCAAAAAAAAAAAAGAAGGTTGGGACCAGTTTTGCTGGTCCAATAGAGCCTGGTGTAACCACTGAGACTATGGCCCCTAGCTGCCCTTCAGGTCTGGAATTGAACCCATAACTGTGGTTTCCAGCCAAACAAAGTACAGGCATGTGAGTTAAACATTTACCTCAAGTAGACACATGCCCTGGAGAGAACAATCATGGGAGAAGGAAGGGCTGCTTATGCACAGGGAGATAGCTCAGGGTGCAGAAGAGTATGAAGGGATGGACACTGGGAGGAGGTAACAATGGGGAGGAAGTGGGAGGGGAGCTGTTGCATTGTAAATTTTGGTCAATGACATGAGACAAAGTATATGTGAACTGCTGTATGAAAAGTGAATTTACTCTGTAAATCTTCACCCAAATCCAAATAAAATTTAAAAAAAAAAAATGTATATAGGATGTCTAGTAACAATAAAACTGAAATGAAGGAAAAAAAAAAGAATGTATAGCAAGATACTAGTAAAATACCATAAGAAACTAAAAATATAAATAAATTCAGTTAGATAGTAAAAGCTAAGGAAATGCTCTAGAACAGAAATCAAAAGTGGAGGCATGGGGGGAAGATCAGGAGGTTTAATATCCAACCAGTTGAAGTTCCAGGGAGAGAACAAGAAATAAAAGAGGTGGAATTGATTAGGAAAACATTGAAAAGAAATTTACCTGACAAAATGCTGAGACTCAAGAGTGGGAAAAAAAAGGCTGTTGTCACAAAATTTAAGAATACAGTCATGTGCCATATAACATTTGTTTGGGTAGCATTTGGCCACATAAATGTCCATGGTCCCATAATACAGTTTAGAAATCTCAGTTGGAGAACTGGACATAACAAATGGGGCAACTTGCCACACACAGCATAGTATATCTCATGTCTCGTATATATGAAGCAATTGCACTGCCAGGCATTTTAATTGTACAGTATATATATAACCTATAATAAAGATGTCCTGATAGTCATAATAGGAGCTCTGGTGGCATAGTGCCTAAGGCATTTGACTGCTAACAGAAGGCTGGCGGTTCAAACCCACCTTCCACTCTTTGGAAGGAAGATGGGGCAATCTACTTCCATAGTGATACTGCCTCGGAAACCCAAGGAGGGGTCGCTATGAGTCCGATCCGACTCAATGGCAAAACACAACAACAACGACAGTCGTAATAAACGCCTGTAAGTGCTTGTGTACATACTATACTATACTTTCTATCTAAAAAGTTTGCTGTATAAGTGTTTGCTTCAACTCATAACACAGCATCCACTCTCATGTATTACACACCCTGTAGCATTATCTCTCTTTAATTTTCTTTTGAAAATATTACCCTGAAGTGCATCATGGCTTCCAAATGCAGCAGTACTGATGCTAGTGAGAGCAGCAGCAAGAAACAATTTGGAAGTGAAAGGAAAGATTACTAACATGAAGGTGGAAAACCAGTGAATGTGATTTGGGTATGTCACACTCAACAGTCAAAATAATCGAAAACAAATTGTTCAAGCTGTTAAAAGATAGGGCCCACTGAAAGCTATGAGGCTAATGAGAATGTGAAAGGGACCTATATCAGATATGGAGGAATTGCTAATGACATGGATTGAGGACGCTCAACACATTGACCATCACTGTTAATAAGGCATAATAAAGCTTGTTCAATATGCTTAAAGAGAAAGCAGGAACAGACTACAATATGGGCAGTGTCCAAATCACTGTATCGTAGACATTAATTGACACATGACTGTAAGATAAACCAAATCCATTACTGTCGAGTTGATCTGACTCAACCCCATATGTTATATGTTAGAATTGTGCCTTAGGATTTTCTTAGTTTTAATCTTTACAGAAGATCTCTAGGCCTACCACAGCACCACTGGGTGTGCTTGAACCAACATTTAGGTTTGTAGTGAAGTACAAACCATTTGTGCTACCCAGGAACTTAAGAGTAATACTTGTCATAGATTCTCAATTGCAACTAGGGAAGCTAGGAATCAAAGGGCATAATGCTTTTGAAAGTTTGAATTATACATCCAGTTACATTCAAAGGTGACAATAAAATAAAGGCCTTTTTAAGCATGGGAATTACCAGAATATTTTGTTCCCATTTACTTGGTCTCAAAAATCTACTGGATACACTTCATCAAAACATGAGAAAAATCAAGAAAAAAATATGATGGAGAGTCTAGAAACAGGATCCAATACGAGAACTAAAGGGAAGTATTAGGATAACGTGAAGCAGATTAAGCAGCCAGTCCTCAATTGGTGGAGACTAGATTGCACAGATTACCTGACAAGTTAGGGTATGTATAGTGGGACATTTTATAGAGCTGTGGAAGATGTAAGACTTAAATGTTAGAAGGGTAGCAGGCAAATTAAAATGTACAATGTATTAGGGGAAAAAAAAGTAGGAGAAAATGTTTCCTCCTAAACCAAATACATGTACTAAGATTATGTAATGTAATCATAGTAATAAAAACACTAAAATTGCATTCATGAGAGGAATTCTATTGACAGAATCCTCATCCGCCATAATAGTTAATACTAATCCCCTTGATTAATCAAAACTGCACATTAGAAATATGGAGATAAATTAGAAATTAAAAAGTTTTCTGCCTTAATTTCCTCATTTATAAAACAGAAATAGTACATAGAGGATTGTAAGATTGAGAGACCATGTATAAAACAGACTTCCTGACAGAACATTTTAAAAATGTTAGCTATAAGTACAGTCTCAAGGGAATTACTCAGCAGCCCTTTTCTGGGTATATGAATTACGTGGATTTTTCAGTCATTAGTTTATCATCTCTCATTTAATCAGTTAAAATGCTTATCAAAGAACAAGCAGTACTCATG